AAGTAGATTCAATTTTTATTCCTTTCATCAAAAAATAGCTACTCACTGACCAAATCTCGCGTAAGTGCAAACACCAATTAATTAGGATTGCGTGTAGTTGATATATTAACTTATTAAATACATGAGTATGACATATCATTTCTAAGAAAAACTTACTTAGTGTACAAAATGCAAACCAGAGGGACAACTTATAGTTTATTAGACAAGTTTGAACCATAATTCATCCTACCTACCTTGTTAGTATTTTTATAACTAGGTTTGTGAAACATTTTATTATGATAAAAAAGGATCATGTGAAACATGAAGAGATCACAAAATTTTTGTTGTGTCTATTTTTTCTACAGGAATCGCAATTTCTATTTCCATTAAGGGAGAGTTGTCCTTCCTTCAACAAAATTGTTTGGTCTTGTAACCTAAAAGAAATCCAACACATAATTAGGACTTCAATCAATGTTGGAGATTTTTTTTGGCAAGTCAATTTTTGAGAAGTTCCTCAAACTAAAATCACTAACTTATGAACTGGTGCTATAAACTACATCTCCATTAGGAGAAATCAAATAATTATGCCTTCTACACATTAAAAAGTATGCTCAAAATTCATTTATTACGCTTTTTAAACTTGCTTAGATGTCAGTAATGAAAAGAAAAAAGGACAAAAAATAAATAGAAACTTATTAAAATGGAAACTTACATTGCATCCAAAGAGCACGAGAGTTGGGCAAATTCACAGTGGCTTTACCAACATGCTTCACTAACAAAACCATCAATTCCCTAAAATCAACATCCTCAACAATAGTTGAGATTCAAGTATCAAGAAGAACAAAAAATAAAATAAAGACCCATAAGAGGCAGAAATCAAAATGTCATACTTGCACACGACAATTCCTTGAATACACCACACACACAGAGAACCTCGTAAATTGCAAACTAAAAATATCCCGAAAGCAATAAAATGCTAAGAAGTACAGGAAAAGTTTTTTTTTTTGGTGCTAAAGATGATTTGAGATTAAGGAAAAATGGAGTGCAAAAAATATTGAGCACCATCATGTTTGATGGAATGCATTTGATTGAATACTATAAAATCTATATGTATTAATTTGATGCAATTGTTCAGTGTTTATAAGCAAGTAAAACATCACTGACTTTGACTGGCTAAAAGTTGGATAAGCGAACGAAGGTAAACCCGATAGTCAATCGTCAAATCGAAACCACTGAAGCAGCATGTTGGTTTAGAAAGACAGATAGAGAGGGGGGGTGAAGTGTTGGAATTGAATGGGTTTGTAAGCTTTGCCTATCAGCTGGTATTAAGTGCTTGAATTAAAATGATCCAGGTTCTAATTTTGCATCATTCTAATTGCAGATTTATTGGCTGTGTTTGCTGCCTATAAAAGAAGCACAAGAAGACGAAATGGTTCAAATTCTTGTAACTGGTATCCTAATTGTAGATATATTGGCTGTGATTGATAGCTGCAATGAGAAAAGTATAAGAAGTCACAAATGGTTCAACTTCCACTGGCTAACTAATGTATTCTTCAATTAGCTGCAACTTACAGCCATTGAATCAAGGATAAGATTGGTTTTATAGTGTTAATTAAGGGCATATGCGGGCTCCGGCATGCTCTCTACTAAACCCATCAATTGTGCAATGAAGGACAAAAAAATCCAAGGAACTGAGGAAGAAGCTTTACTCTGTTTTTTTTGGTTGGGTAGCTGAGAGTGAGTGAGGCAGAGAGAAAAAAAAAATAACTAATAAGATCGGTGTTATTCATGTCTGTCAAGTGGGCCAAAAACTTTGTTTGTTAACGGTGACCAAAAATTCTATTTTTTTAATAGGTTTTGGTAGATTGTGAAAAGTTAAAGATTTGATTCTTTAATAAATATTGGTAGATAGTGGTGGACTCAAATTTTTTTGCTTTAAATGAACTTGATTTTTTAATTCTTTTGAGTAAATAATATGAGCCTGTCATTTTTATATTCAATTTTAGGTGGACACAAATAATATATTATACAAATATAAATATATACCTAACTAATAAAAAAAAAAAATTGAGGTAGACAACTTGCCCACTTGGCCCATGCCTCCCTCCGCCCTTACCGAGGAAGACAAGAGAGAGGACAAGTGGCATCGTGTCGATAGGAAGCTTTAAGCTTAAGAAGTTCTTGAGGAGGTTCAGGTTGCCGGAGAAAGCTAAGGTTGAGGAAACGAAGGCGTCAATGGAAAATCGTGTTCTTACTGTGACGGTCCCAAAGGATCGAGAGGTGAAGCAACCTGAGGCCAGGTCTGTTGATATCAGCGGCTGAGACGTGGTTATTATTCGATATTTACAAGAACGGTGTTGTCCTTATCATTCTGCTGTTGTACGGAAAACAAAGACGGTCGAGTGCACGAGTCTTCTACTCTTATCTTGATGTTTGTTAACACTAGTTCATCCAAATGTGCATTGCACGTCAATCATTTCAAGTATATTATTATTGTATATATTTTGAGATTGTTAATCTTTAAGATCTTAATAAACCAAAGTGGTCTCAAGCATATATACAAGCAAAAAACGACATTCTACCTAGGATTGAGTGTTCTTAAGCCAATTGAAAGAGCCATTAGTAAGAGGTTTACATTTCAAAATATACGGAAAACACCAACAAACCAAGTTTGAAAAGGCAATTTCTCAAAGCTACCACCTTGGATCAATATTTTTACATTCCATATTAAATTCTTCTGCATACCTGGCTGACAACATTCCATATTCAAAGACAGATTTCTTAGCTATTTAAAGTTTCAGTAGGGACCTAGATGCACATGAATTTAAAATATTGTATACAATTTAACACAACAGAGTGCAACAAAATTCTTGTTGTCAGTTTATTCTGACAGCTCCTATTTTTTTTTCGAATCCTAGTTCAGTACAAAGTTCTTCCACTACACTATCCTCTATTGTCCCCTCTGAATTGTAGTAAAACAATTGAGGTGAAACATGATCACATCATACGACCCACAACAAATCAATAGACAGCAGGTGGAAGAAATGCCAAAAACATGGCCTAAAACTGCAAAGTCACCAACTTCTCCAAAAGGCTAATACAGTTTAAGAAGAAGAAGAAGAAGGGGAGGGGGGGGGGGGG